GCGAAGTTTGATTTAATAATACACGGAGGGCATCTCTGGAGACGCGGACAAGAAATGAAATGAAAGAAAAGAGGAAAAACTTTTCTCGGTTCGCACATTTCTGTATTTTATTTTTACTCCCTCGTTCTCCTTCCGGGGCTAATGCGGCAAAATTAAGTTTTCTCCTCATTCCTTCTTTCAACTTCAGGAAAAAAACCGCCGCCTCTTGAGGGTGTAACTGTTTACTTTACAAGTGGAACAATCGAGGTCTTCCACCCTCCTCTACACGTTGCTTTGTATATTTTTTTTTTGCTTCCTCATTCTCCGGTTGCTCTTCTATTTTCGCAATTGTTAAATTTAATTAAAGAATACGTAATTTCCGCGCTCAGTTCGGGCCTCGAAGAACGCCGGTAACGTTTAACGAGGCGGACACCAGAGGGCCCACAGCCTCCTCGAATCTATCGTACTCGCAGCAGAAAACCGCCCCGTTTTGCGTCTTATTCCAACTCTTATGAAACCATCCGTTCTCGCGGCAAGAATCCTCGCACAGATGGACCACTTCTTCGGGATTAACGAAAGGATTATTCAACACTAAAAGAACGATAGCTTGAGCCGTTTCTTCGTCCACCACAAGTTTCCAGTTGTATTCGGGAACTGGCAAGATGTTGCCTCGGACGAGGTGCATCTCCTGCTGATTCCCATCGGTGTCGTTCAAAGATAAAACGCCGTAGGTTCCCGTGTACACTTTCAAATCCCTCGCAAGTTTTCCGGCCAACCTTCGCACCAGGTTCTCGATCGTCGCCCAATTTCCGCCGTTGATTCTGTTCCACTGCGGGCTCGCGTTTATGTAGAAGTACGTGCAGAATTGCCACGCCGCGAAATGGAAATCCGCATCAGGAGCGTGATGTCCTCTGGTCAAGAAGTTCTTCTTGCTGATATACTCGCTACCCAGCACCGATGAACCCAAAATCTTGTTGAACGTTGACTTCTGGAAAGCCCGTTTGTAAGCCACGGATGCGGACACTTTAGGTCCGAGTCCCTGCGAGCTGAAAGACGGACGATATTTAGCTCGAGATGCATCTACAATTTAAAAAAAACATTTTATTACATTTTATTAAATATTTAAATAATTACACATGTTACATCAATGATTCTACAATCAAATTAAAGGAAAATTTGTAAGCTTTAAAATGAATTTTATAGATTGATTCTAACATCTATGGTCTATCTGTAATCAACTGTCAAAGTTAAAGAAATTTCAAAAAAATATATCTTTACATTTTCTTATTTTTCATAATCACGCATTCCACTTAAATCTTTGGATAAACCAATTAAAGTAGAAACTATAAGCTTTAAAATGATTATACAATAGTATTTGAGTCTGTCGTGGATTTTCTGTAATCAGCTTTGAAGTAAGGAAATTTTATTTCACAACCAACAAATGTGTTTATTTACAAAATGATTAAAAACCTTTATTTGTTTTCTTTGGAATTTAGACTTATTCACTTGAAATCAATGATTAACACTGCAAATAAAACTAATGGCTATAAATTATGACTAAAGTTGTTTTCTATTGATTATTTATAATATAGAACTTATGCATAAAACATTTACATTTTTACGTATTTCTCTGAATAATATTTAGAAATGAAAATGTTTCAATTAAAGCTAAAATTATAAGGAATAATACTAATTTAGTAGTATATTTGGAAACTAAATGGTTTTAAATATTAAGAAATAATAATATGTCAATTAAAGCTAAAACTATAAGGAATAATACTAATTTAGTAGCATATTTGGGAACTGCATGGTTTTCACGTAATTCTCTAACAAATAAACAGAAAAAAATATGAGATGGAAAAAGCAATGTAATTACAATTTTACTTATTTCTCAAAAACTATGAAAAATATAAAGAAATAATAATATGTCAATTATGTCTAACAAATAAACAGAAAAAATAAGAGATGGCAAAAGCAATGTAATTACGTATTTCTCAAAAAATATGCAAAATATAAAGAAATGAAATAATATATCAATTAAAGCTAAAACTATAAGGAATAATACTAATTTAGTAGCATATTTGGGAACTGCATGGTTTTCACGTAATTCATTAACAAATAAACAGAAAAAATAAGATATAGAAAAAGCAATGTACTTAAAATTTTAAGTATTTCTCAAAAACTATGCAAAATATTAAGAAATAATAATATGTCAATTAAAGCTAAAACTATAAGGAATAATACTAATTTAGTAGCACATTTGAGAACAACATGGTTTTCACGGAATTCTCTAACAAATAAACAGAAAAAATAAGATATGGAAAAAGCAATGTAATTACAATTTTACGTATTTCTCAAAAACTATGAAAAATATTAAGAAATAATAGTATATCAATTAAAGCTAAAACTATAAGAAATAATACTAATTTAGTAGCATATTTGGGAACTACATGGTTTTCACGTAATTCTCTAACAAGTAAAAAGAAAAAATAAGAGATGGAAAAAGCAATGTAATTACAATTTTACGTATTTCTCAAAAACTATCAAAAATGCTAAGAAATAATAATATATCAATTAAAGCTAATACTATAAGGAATAATACTAATTTAGTAGCATATTTGGGAACTACGTGGTTTTCACGTAATTCATTAACAAATAAACAGAAAAAAATAAGAGATTGAAAAATCAATGTAATTACAATTTTACGTATTTCTCAAAAACTATCAAAAATGCTAAGAAATAATAATATATCAATTAAAGCTAAAACTATAAGAAATAATACTAATTTAGTAGCATATTTGGAAACTACATGGTTTTCACGTAATTCTCTAACAAATAAACAGAAAAAAATAAGAGATGGAAAAAGCAATGTAATTACAATTTTACGTAATTCTCAAAAACTATCAAAAATGCTAAGAAATAATAATATATCAATTAAAGCTAAAACAATAAGGAATAATACTAATTTAGTAGCATATTTGAGAACTATATGGTTTTCACGTAATTCATTAACAAATAGACAGAAAAAATAAGAGATGGAAAAAGCAATGTAATTACAATTTTACGTATTTCCCAAAAACTTTGCAAAATATTAAGAATTAATAATATGTCAATTAAAGCTAAAATTATAAGGAATAATGCTAATTTAGTAGCATATCTGAGAACTACATGGTTTTGACGTAATTGATTAACAAATAGACAGAAAAATAAGAGATGAAAAAAGCAATGTAATTACCATTTAACGTATATCTCAAAAACCATAAATCATACTGTTATCAATGAAAATACGTGTTAAAGCTAAAACTATAAAGAATAACATAGTTTCAAAAACATATTTGAGAACATAATCGTTTTGACGTAATTCGCTAACAAGATAGAAACATTTTTTTTTATAAATCATTAATTTTTAAAATATTAATATATGAATATTAATTAAAATGTTTATTCCCTTAGTAATTTGTTAAAAGTCTTTTCATTTCTTGTTTATATATTTAATTTGTTATTGAATTTTGTTTGAAATTTTGTTTAAGTTATAGATTTCCTCTATTAGCGTATAAGATTGTGTATTAATTATATAAAGTTAAGTTACGTTACGGTACGTCAATACAGCTTTGATTTTAATCGAGTTGCAAATGTTTTAGCTAATTGTCAATACGTGACGTTCATGATGTGCCGTGACAGTTGAAGCTTAATTACGCAGATGGATCTGTCTATAATTAATAGTGTGATTGCTGTAAACTTACTTCTGATGGATTGTCCATAGATGATGTGCTCGGAATAGAGAGCGTTGCCTCTGGTGTTATCGTAGCAGGCTCTGATTAGAGAGTGGAACGTTCCGAACGCCCTGTATCCGATCTCGAACAGTAGGCCGTGACCATCGGCTGGACCGCAACTCGAATTTGTTTCCAGGACGTCTCCAAGGACGGTGCGATTGCATCTCAACTCATTGAAATCATCGTACAACACCTCCTCCACTTTGAGTTTCCCGTCGACGCAAACCCCAACAGTCTCATTAGCTTTACCTAAAAAGAAGTAGAAAAAAATATATATATATAAGCACACGTAGAGGAAACAATTTAAAAAATTTACCCTGTTAAGGTAATTGCGTTACGACCGATCTTACTGTTTATGGTTAAATGGTTCCTCCTGTTGGGGCAGGAGATGCGCACCGTTTCTTCATCCCCAAGGAGGACGCTCCCGTTTTTCGGAATAATAAAACCGGGACCACCGGTATTAAGAAATATGGGCTGCTTATCCTCGGATTTCCGTTGCGGCCTCCACCTGCACTCTGCCAAAAGGGAAGGAAAATCAGATTTTATCACCTCACAAACGAGAGAGAAAGAAAGAGAAAAAGCGGAAAGTTGAAACAAAAGAAAGAGTGTAATACGCACCAGCCAACGAATACGTTGGTAAATCAAGTAAACCGAGGATGAGGATGAACCGTAGCATCGCGCTCAACTGTTTTCGTTTTTGGACTCAACTTTTCTTCTTTGTGCGTCAGAGACGAAACGCGAGTACCGTTAGTTTTCGGAGTACTGTTGAAGCGCCGCAAACAAACGAAACCGTGAACGACCGAGATAAAAAAAAACGGAATGGAATGAAAAAAAGAGGTTATAAATTGAATAGTAATAACCTCGCGCGTATCCAATTAACAGAAAACAGGTACCCGCAATTATGCGAATAATTAACATAACTTCGTTGAATTTCCAAACGCAATTACAATAATTACTCAATGATTCATTGTTTTCTTAATTATATTGAATCGATGTTATTTGAATTATCCTTGAAATTAAGTGCACTTAAACTAATCTGTCGAAACCAAAATATTGATACAATGATAAAATATTCAAATTGAAACAATAAATTTAAGAAGAAAAAAAACTATAATGAAAAACGAAAATTTAAATTTTGGAATTTCATAATTTCTGTTACGTAAAAACTGCTAAGCATTATAGGAACATCAATGAAAAGAAAGTTGCATCAAAATTTATTTGATTATTTCCAAATTAGTTCTTATAATTTGTACGTTTGTCAATGTTTCTTACAAAATCTCTTCGTCAAAAAGATTCACCAATTTTTTTTTTCCTTCACTAATTTGCATATTAATTTGTTAATGAATGAAACTGACGTGTTTTTTTTTAAATTTATTTAACGTTCAAATATTCAGAATATTCACTTGTACACATAGTGAATATTTTAACGGAGTTAATAAAGTTATAAAAGAAAATCCTTTTTTTTTCAATTTCTCCAGCTCATAGCAGGCGACTCGATTACAACACGAAGATGCATGTATGCTCGTTGGGAAGGTGAGACATTCAGCTTTCATACGAGTGGTCTATGATGTAATTATCTTAAGGGGTTGTCAAGAAATACACGAAAAACTGTAGACATTGAAAAAAAAACTTTGTTTCTCTGTTTTTTCATTTTCTATAGCTCATAGCAGGCGACTCGATTACAACACAAAGATGTATGTATGCTCGTTGGAAAGGTGAGACATTCAGCTTTCATACGAGTGGTCGATGATGTAATTATCTTGAGGGGTTGTCGAGAAATCTACGATAAACTGTAGACATTGAATAAAAAAACGAAAAACCCGACGTTT